CAACTTTGAAGGCCTATATTTTCCGTATTTTACAACATTTCGCAACCAAACTTTGTAATATTACTAATTCCAAGACGCTCTTTCCAGCTGTGGTGATAGATTTCGTTAATTGTTCTTACTTAGAGTAAAATTTAGTCTAAAGCGCAAGTCGTCCATTGTTGATAACATTCATAGTAAGTTTTGATAGACAGATTAATATTTTAGCACTGTATTCTGTAAGTAAGTGTGGTTGTGCTAAACATCCTTACTTGCAGCTGAGAGTTGAATTACGAAGGAGGCTGCAGCTCGACCTGACCACCGTATATATGACTCATGCCTAATCACGGAGTACCGAGCACGCAGCTTATAGCCCACCCTATCAACATTTCCTGTGGGAGGAAATCGAAGTACCCGGAGAAAACCCACGCCTTTCGATGAAGTTTTATTTCTGTACTCACGCGCTTTCAAAAAGTTGACCTGTAACCGTGACTCGTTTCAATACATCAAAAGTAGCCGCCACTTCAGTTAGCTATAGGAGTCGTGACTAACACAAATGTCAGATAGATATTAGCTTATGATGAACAGAGATAAAGAAATTCAAGCGGATTTTCAGACAGAATCATCAATCAAAATCCACAATTCATTTCTGGTTTCATAGTATAAAGAAAATGCAAATTTCGACGCCAGTGGACGCAGTAACATTGGATGGAATTTTTCTTTGCGCAGATTAATTCGCAGTCAAATATAGCTAGCTGATAATCGTATAAAAATTACATTATCTGAAACAGAAACTAACCTCGAATTATAAAAGATCGACTGGATCACGTGGTTTCTAGTTTACAAAAGCGTAGTTCTGTTTTACTGCTTTGCATCATGGGTAGGCAGGATCGTGTAGATGAATATTGAGTGGTATACACCAGTTGGAAGATGTAGGGCTTTAGGTTCTCTTAAATTAATTACTTAAAACCACTAACAATCGTTGATGATTGCGCACAGCGTCTGATGTGGTTATTAGATTGTTCAGTTGCGCATAGCATATAATGAGGATAACTGATGCACGAGTATATCAGTCTAACTCTGAATAAAAGCCAATGCTCGAAGCAATGTTCTGCTTCATATTTTTTTCTGAGATCAAAGTTGTACCCATGCCCCTGGAAAGTGTTGACCGCTCTACATTTCTAGAATTGCATAAAGAATTCTACGAAATGTAGTGAATGTAGAGAAAACCAGATTACCATGAGAAAATATAAGCCACACAAGCAATTTAATCCTGATCGCAGAGAAAGACATAGATATCACTGACATAGACTAACTCATTAGGTCAAGATGTTGTCTTATCTGTTTTGATATAATCATTTCCTTCATTTGTGCAATGTGATTAGTGTATAATCATTCGTGTCTGACGAGTCACGTACAGCCGATTCTCGACCTGGCGGCGACTTTTGTCTGAGTCAAACCCACACACTCGCATTTGTTTATGGGGTGAAATAGTGATTGATGTGTACATTGAAAATAAACATTTATTATTTATATATCAAAAACTGAATTAAAACTGTGTTAAATATGTCCGTTTTGAGTCGACAGCTCAAACAAATGATTGGTATACCTTGTTTGCTGAATAGATTCAAACTCGATTTGACTGACAGTATAGTGTCCTACTTTGAATATACTGATAACATAAAATAAGCGCATATATTTAGTCGGTGATATAGGTGGTACATATTTAATCAACAAATATCATCAGGGTTATCTCATCAATATATCAGGGCTTTTAATACACCAAGATTGCGGAAGAGTCTATCAAATGGATTGCATTGTTGCTCTATATCATCTTAACTAAAGTTCTTTGTACGTTTGCATGGCGATAAAACATATAATAGTTTTGTTTGTGGAAACACCACGTAAATTTATTACTAACTAAAGTTGTTTTTGATGCCAAGGTTAAAACGAATGCAGGAAAATAAATAAGCAAGCGAATAAAGCTCAACTACGTCCACGACATCAACCAAATGTTTATGGTAAAATTATCTTCAATAACGTACGATTCTATAAATTGATACAAACCACAATTTTTTCACCACACAAGCAGATTTTTCAATACCAGTTTTATTGTTCCGTCAGGCATTTTCCTATGTACGGAATATAGCGGCGTAATTCCGTCAAGACACATCAGACAAGCACTATAATTAAGACACGGTATTCCCACAGGGCGCGAGACTTCGCTGTCATATGTACAGGCCCTGAAATCGTGAAACATGATTTAAATTCAAGTGGTCTTCAGACTTGTTTCTAGACTTCGCTGTCATGTGTACAGGCCCTGAAATCGTGAAACATGATTTAAATTCAAGTGGTCTTCAGACTTGTTTCTAGACTTCGCTGTCATGTGTGCAGGCCCTGAAATCGTGAAATATAATTTAAATTCAAGTGGTCTTCAGACTTGTTTCTAGACTTCGCTGTCATTGAGACTCGTTTCTATAGAACGTGTTGAGAGCCGATATATTCCACGATCTTCCGACAGGCAGCTATTGTATGGTAATGGCTCGATCTAAAAAACAGATACCCAAATACCGAGTCAAAATCGCATTCGATATACAGTAGGACGGAAACACGGTATTCCAAATGTATGCGAGAAACAAATAGGCCGGTGGAGGGATGTTTTACGTGCCCCTTACTCCCTTGCGTGAAAGGTGGGATAAGTCACCAGATCACGAAACCGGAACGTGACTTATTACATACATGCATACATACATCAACTTTATTTAAACACGGAAAATCATCAGTATAGTTATTTACAAAAATATTAAAAAATTTTAAAAGGAGCAAAAAGAAATCTAGATACTGTTCTACCTGATTGCCGTGTGGGAGTCAGATCGATTATTTATTAAGAAGGCTTCTAAACCTGTCTTAAATGCAGCGAGAGAGGTTATTGATCTAAGAGATTCTGGCAGGCCATTCCATAAAGAGGCTCCACTGTAACTGAAGGAGCGTTTCAAATAATCTGTGCGTGGTTTTGGGACATAAAGTTTACCATAAGAATCTCTCAGGTTATAAACACTCTCACTGGGAGAAAACATCTCTTGTAAATAGAATGGTGTATGTTTATTAATAGTATTAAACATGAGGATTGCCTTTTGCTTTAATCGCTTAGTGGACAATGATTCCCAATTAAGTTCTTCAAGAAGAGAACTTGATGAAATATCATAAGATGAACGGGTAATAACACGGGCGGCCCTATTCTGTAATTTTTGTAATTTTTCGCTTTGCTTTTTACCTAGGCCATCCCAAACAGGGGCACAATAGGAAAAATAGGGCTCCACCAAAATCATGCCAGGCTTTCATAATCGCTAAAAAACTCTAAGGGATACAGATTAGCCTACCCTGTCGTGATGGTTGATGAACAGCTACGAAAAACAGCTGCATGCGTTAATTAGCATCGAACTGAGAATTTCTCGAGAGCACTTGACACTTCATTGTACTAATCACCGTAAAGTTGACATCCTATGTTAAGGTTGATGAAAAAACTCGTGACTCCATCTTTACGACCGTTACGACCATATGGAAAATTATTATGGCTAATTAATTAAGCTCAACATGATTCAACATGGAATTTATCATAAGAGGTATCGAATTTTCTGTAGAGAGAAATGTAGTCGCAACCAGTTGTGTTCAATATTGTAGATAACTGGTTTCCTCCTGTAGTAACACTGACCAATAAGGGATGAGCCTTACTGAGTTTTATGGAGAACCGAATGAAAATGCAGATCATTGTAAGTGGATCAACATATATCTGACAAGCTAAGTTTATTTAAATTTGCAACTCCGTTTGTAGACTTTGCTGTTTATTGAACTTTTGCCCGTGTTCATGTTTTCCGCATGCACACATGAAGGTTTTATCATTAATTCACTGCATGTTTAGGCGTGTACGAAAGTACAGATATCAGTGTCTCTTTGGTCTTGATCCCACTCACGATCTTGAAGGCTGGTTTCAACAGTAGCTTTGAAGGATTTGTAAGAAATGTTCAGTTTGAGAGAGAACTATTCCCTCAAGCATTTCTCACAAACCCCTCAAAATTGAGGGAACTGACTCCAGAGTTTAACACTTAATCAGTCCCCTCAAACATTTACCTATGCAAACTTACTATTGTGATCACAGAAACTTTGATACTATAATTAGTAAATACAAAATAACACTAGTAACTCCGAATAACATTTTGATTTTTAATCGACGTTTCGACTAGTTTGTGGGCATCCTCAGGATGACTACAAACTAGTCGAAACGTCGATTAAAATTTAAAAATCAAAATTGACAAAATGTTATTCGGAGTTACTGTTATTTTGTATTTTCTTAAAATACTGAGTGGTTCTCGTAATAATTATGAAAACGAGGCATTTGGGGGCAAGTGTAATGAATAAACAGTACAGTCTATTCTGTTTAAAATGCCGTTCCTCGGGGCTAGTATAGAAGGACATTTCTTATAATAGCCGTCCACTTCAATGTTACAGGGGAATCTGGAGTATCCGAGGAAATCCTGTGGGGTTTGGTAGAGTCAAACTCAAAGCGCTTTTCTCAAATGCGACTGAAGTGTAATTATAATTCGACACTGACAACAGCTTATTGCAGGAATTGAACCATAGTCAAAGCACTTGGTAGACCTTGGTAGATGATATACCGCTAATTCTATTAAACACTAGCAAAGCTACTGGGTTGAAAGAGGGTTGTTTTAAATAAAAGATGGTATGAATATGTTTCAAATGGTTTTATTCAAAGTGCATGCTTCTTTGGAGTCAAGCGATAAGCTATCTGATTAGCATAAAATGTCTTTATGTTGTGAGTTTTAGTGCTAAAACTCCAATAAAGCGCTTTTGTTTTTCAACTGTCAACGACTCGTAGCGACGCTTAATGTCTATGTAATTATGTGAACAGTCGAAGCGGCGAGTCTCGCAAGCTGATTGGCTCAGCGCTCGCATATTTGCATGTGATTGGCTGCTCATTTGAATATGAATGAGGCAAAACCAGCAAAGCGTACCAGAGTGTAAAAGAGAAAGCGCGTAGGTAATCATATTCAAATCATCTATGTGTGTCGTGAGCTGAAGCGGGCATATATAAAGTGTAGCGACATAAGCAAAGTTTCGAGCGAATATGGAACAAATTGTCAAACTCTCTACATATACGGTATGTTTATAGTGTATCTTGTTTATATATATCGCGTGTGGTCGATAGCTTGCGTAGATGCGTTATTTCTGGTCGCCAGGTTGTGTCATTGTATATTTAATACGTACTAATCTAATGAGGAACGTTATTAACCGAATATATCTACTCTAGCCCACGTACTGGGAATTGCTGTTTGTTAGTTAAATACGAATGTTATTGAATATATAAGTCTGGTAGGGTTGTATATAATGAAATACGATACAGCACTTACGTGAGGAGGTAACAGAATATGTCTAAGAGGAAACTATTCATTTAATTTAAAAGCGTATTTATAAAGAGCCAAGGTAAAATCCCTTTGACGTACCTACATGTATATATGTATCACGCTATTCGATGTCATTCTGGCGCATGAAAATGACTCCTTAGGCCAGAATTCGTTCCTAAATTGTGTAGCAAGACCTGAACTACCAAATATTTGCGCACAGCTGCTCGATTACATACGCCAAAATGACAATCGCACTGAAAGCGATCAACAGCTCAAATCAATCTCTTGCGTCACCTTATTAATGTATTTTGCGTCAAATTTGGAATTCGATGCAGGGAATGGTAAAATTCTCATTTCGAAGTTTAAAAGCGCTGCTGATAATTTCGATCGTATAAGGAAATTAATACAATGTTTGATGGGAAAATTGACTTTGAGAGACAGAGCTATTTATAACCAAAAGGCAGTCAATTTTGACGTTCAGATGCCAATCTACGTACAACAAAACGCACCAACAAGTCAACAGAATATTTTGTCAATTTTTTTGCCCGTATTAAGTGAAGCAAAACCGACCCGAATGACAAAATACAGACAAGACACGCGGAAGGTCAATTCAAATAACACTCTCAGTTTTTTGCTGAAGCTATTTGCATACACAGATGGTGACTTATTACTGTTTACATTGATATTAGACTGAAAATGATGCCGCATTTGGGGATGGTAAAATTGACCCAAATATGGATCCATTAAAGTGCGCAAGTCAGACAAAGAAAAATTGTGGTACAAAGAATGGCCTAATCACATCAGAATTACTGGATGTTTTCTTATATGGCAAGCGCAAAATCCAAGGGATCGATTTGGAAAACGCGAAACGGCAAAAGATTGGCCAGGGGAAATGTGTCAAGCCATTAAAAAGTGAGTAGACTATTTTTTTCATTCGTCAACATAATTTCGACGCGTATTGACAAACGTTCTGCACTTAGCTCGCTGAACAAAAGACAGTCAAAGAATATTAATCTCTTTTTGTCGCTAGAAATTGACATGAAAAGACAAGTCCAGAACCTGTTTCGCAACGCACGGTTAAGAATGCGTTCCGTGTCCCGAAAAAAAACTCCCATGGTCCAAAACTGTTAGGAGAAGTTGCCCAATCATGGGGAAGGTTTTAATTCCCCTTGGAAGCCAAAATTTGGTCGAATACAGCGCGTTTGAACAACATATTTCGTGCAGGAAGTCGCATAAAAGTCTTTGAATGAGCGCAGCGATGCGAGACTGTGCGCATGACTGACCTCACTTTGTCAGACAAGGCAAAGGCGAAAAAGTTTGCCATTCTTTTGGATTTTTTTCGCATTTCCAAAGATATTTTATGAATGCTAAACTTCTGTGGTAATTTTGAAGTAAATACGGCAGGATTTCGCTCGAATTTTCACCATCCATAATCTGCTTGACCAAACACATTTTTTTCTAATTGCAATTGAATTAGAATGAAGTGGTCAAATATTTCGTGTATTGTGGCCGTGCCTATAGCAACCTTTGAGGACAAAATATTGACCAAGAGAGCTTCAACATAAAGTGGTTTCCTCATACACGTAATATCCAGTTAAAAGTCTTTAACTTGGTCTTAGACTACGAGTTTTTATCCTGTTTGTCTGGTTCGAACTGGCTTCAGGCCCGACAGCAGATGTTGCTATGACATTATCATGCGGCCTTGCTTTATGGTAATTACGTCATTAATACTGCATAATGACTTATAAACCAAGGATGCATATCTTGTTTATTAAAATACCTCTATACGGATTTAATACCGTTTAAAGTAATGTAATTAACTTGGACACTAAACCTTTTTATAACCAGAAAGGTTTAAAATGATGGTTTGAAGCATCACACATATATATAAAAGTGAATCATGTATACAATCATGACAGAGCAGAGTCTGCAGTCAGTCAGCGATGTTGATTTGAAAATATTTTGACACTAAAATGAGACATACATGCAGTATACGATCTTAATTTTGGTTAGTTATCTATTTCAGTCAGTGTAAATGACAGCTTTTACATGGTCATACAGCAGCGTTTCCCCTTGTGATAGTAACTCGTAGTTATATATTAATATTTAAATACGTAAACAATTACATGATAATTTTCGTTCAAGCCTGCTTTCAGCAAAATTGAAAACAGTTGAAACTGCACGCCTTGGATACCATACTTCAAAAGTAAATACAAAAAAAGACGAGATTTGAAAAGCTGGCATGACCAGCTTTTGAACAAACACAAACAAATGAACGTTTTGTGTGAGTTGGTTCCACACTGGGCAAGTTGAAGTTCAGTGCCTGACCACGGTGAGAATCGAACCCGCGACCTTTGAGATTCTGGTCCAATGCTCTACTGAGCTACGAGGTCAAGCGGTTCGAGTTGTTGATATTTCGGAACTGAGTCTAGTTTCCTTCGATATCAATGTATTCTAAGATATGATACTTTTTGTGTGTGTTAGTGTTATGTACTCAGGTGAGTGTGGATGTTTGTGATGTTATTCTGAGTGTGCATCCTCAGCGCGGGCTAGCTGAAAAGTTCGCCGCGAAGCAAAACTTGCTCACCTGTATAGGGGGCTTAAATTGTACGAAAAACTCGACCTACTGCATGTGTGGCCATTTAAAAATAATATTTTAAGTAGTTCCCCTTCTATCAGACACCTTTCTGCTTTCAAGACAAGGCTACTTGGGCGGTGTGTAACAGTTTGCCTGAGGGCAATAATAACTGAAATAATTTCAAAGGATATTGCCCATTCTTCTGCTCTTTTCAAACTTTTACTGCGAACTTTTAATATGTAATAACTAGTAGTTGTAAATTTTAAGCAAATTTTTGTTCTTATTTTTGAAAGAATATAAATATATTCAACAAGTTTCGCACACGCAATTTTCAATTGATAGTGTGCAGTTTGCTGACTTTACTTATATTTGATTGCTCTGTCAGTTGTCAACTGTTCCCTATAACGATCCGATAGGGGTTTCGATACTAAAAACAGAGTGTCACAATGGAACGGAAATTTTCGACATCCACTGAAGAACAATTTTGATCAGACATGCATCACCGCATGCAATTGAGGCTATATACACTTCTCTCAGTCAATAAGAATTAAAAGAATTCTATTTTTGTTATTGGCATTTTTATATTGACGTACATATGAGTAATTATATTTAAAATTGAAAAATGGAATGAAAATTAAAAATGGCGCTAGCTCAATGAATCAGGGTGTAACTATATATAGAAACATGGGAACTTACTGTTACGAGCGCTGTTACCTAGAAAAACTTGAACTTCCTTTGTATGTCGAATTCATTAATAGAAGCATGGTTTTACCTAGTTGTTCAAAGATGGATCAGCGCTAACTCTCGGTTCAAATTAAACCGGCTGAATTATGTATTTCTGTTTATTTCAACACTTCAACGAAGAAAACTGCTACTGATTCAGACAAGATTTTTAAAGAAATATAATTTCTAAATTTATTTAATTTTTGAAAGTTGGCTTTGAATTTTAGGTTAACCTTGCGTTAATTTAAGCTAATCAGAATAAGCAAGTGAACAAAAAATTAACTATGAAATCAGTCGACAAAGTTTTGACAGTAAAATTACAATGCCATAAATTGGCACTAACCATAGTATATTTTTGTACTATACAAACAGAATACCGTGAGATAATAAACTGTTTGTTGTCAGGAATAGAGGAATAGCCTATTTCGACCCCAGTTTTGAGTTTGAAGGTAAATGTGGGCCGATCAAAAGACAGTCCATGGATAACGACAATGTACAGTACCGAAATATCCCGTGGGCGTTTCGGGAAGTCTCGCCTACACTTGAAAAAATGCATTGTTATGCAGAATGGACAATTTCCCCTGCTCGTAAAAGGAAGCTATATCTTGAAATACTGGGCCAATTTTCATAACAGTATCCTTAATTTGAATACAACAGTTTCTCTATACCAGAACAAGCGCCTTTCACCTGTGAGTTCGTGAGTTTGATTCTCGCTATGGACTCGTGTGAAAAGAGTCAGTCAACGCTCTGCCGAAAGTCGTGGGTTTTCTCCGGGTTGTCTGGTTTCCTCCCACAGGGAAAGTTGACAGGGTGGGTTAGGATAAACACAGTTTAGAAAGTAATATCTCAATTGTTGTAAAGATAAATAGTCTAGGCTAGTAAGTAACATGAGCGTAATACTTCATGTAATACTTCATATACTTCACGGTCACTGAAAAGCCCCAATGGGGAGTGAGCTGATAATAATGTATGAATGTATGTATAAACTACTCCAAACTCATCGCAATCCTATAATCCCAGTCCTGACCCTAATCCTTCTGATCTTGACATTTCTGGATATCTTTGCACGGAAAGTCAGTTGCAGGGAAAGCTTTCTAAATCCTGTTTAATTAAAAAAAAACCGTTTGACCTCCGTTGTTCAAGCCCACACGATTGTTCTCTATGACGGGATTGTTCTCAAAGGCTGGATTATTCTACACTTTGATTCCAGGAAGAAGGAAGTAAAGTTGGTCATTTTTAGGAGACCGACTGATTGATATTCAAGTGAATGTTGAAGGGCTTTTATAGATGAAAATATCGAGTAAACACCATATACTTTTTAGACCTGACCGCGGCAGGCTAGCAACATACGAAAAGTACATCCATATACCCTCCGACAGGAATCGAATCAGCGCTCCCTTGTCTAAATTTAACGGAAGAGAGGAACATTTATTTTTAGATCTTAAGAAGCGGATTGTATTGTATTTATTCGGTACAATAGGTTGGCTTCCCAGTCCACTTTTATGATGGTATAAGATTCAGTAAATTGTGAACTGTAATATTAGAAGGTTTATACATTCACATTGTGCGGGCTTTTGTATTTATTTATTAACGATATTTACTAATCAGCAAAGGTGAATTCAAAATACATATCTTCCTCATCTGAAGCAGGTTGAATATCAAATTCCCTTCTATTAAATTTTGGTAAAATCTGTTTTGGTTCTTAACCAAGATAGTAATAGTTTATTTCAATTACTCTGTCCAAATCGTTGTTCAGAAACTAATCCGACTATTCACTATAGGTTGCGAATCTTGTCGGAAACCTCACAATGGACCGTGTTATACGAGTGAACCACAAAAATCTATCCGTCAGGTGGTCGGTAATGCGATACACGATATCAGACTGACATACGCCGTCTTGTCATTTCCCGGTGAAGTTCAACTATGCACCTCAAGCATCCCAGGTTACAGTTATGGTGTCTCTGCCAAGCTACCCTTCCCGATAGGCACTTGGATAGGACCGTACGAAGGGAAACGAGTCAAAGCCGAAGAGATTACGACGAAAAGCGATTCAAACTATGTCTGGGAGGTACAGTGATGAAAATATTGTACTTTTTACGGATATTAGTATTAAAGTGAATTTTAACAGGCTGTTTTACCTTTTGCTTTTCCGTGGCTCGTAAATGGAGGTATCTACCTAAAAAGTCAAATATTTATACCGTTTGCGCTCACCCTAGGAAAAGCAAAAACGCTTCCCAACAAATTCAGAAACACATTTGTTTGCCATATGTATTTTTATTTGCGAAAAGTTAAAATAATGTTTCCTGGTTTGCCCACCTTTGGAAAACATGGATACAAAACAATGTTTCCTGGTTTGCCCACCTTTTTGAAACATGACTAGGAAACAATGTTTCCTAGTTTGCCCACCTTCTGGAACATGACCAGGAAATTTGCCCATCGTCTGGAAACATGGCTAGGAAACAATGTTTCCTGGTTTGACCATCTTTGGGAAACATGGCTAAGGAATAAAGTTTCCTGGTTTGCCCATCTTTGGGAAACATGGCTAGGAAACAATGTTTCATGGTTTGCCCATTTTTGGAAAACATGGCTAAGGAACAAACATGCCTGGTTTGCCCATGTTTGGGAAACATGGCTAGGAAACAATGTTTTCCTGGTTTGCCCATCTTTGGGAAACATGGCTAAGGAACAAAGTTTCCTAGTTTGCCCATCTTTGGGAAACATGGCTAGGAAACAATGTTTCATGGTTTGCCCACTTTTGGAAAACATGGCTAAGGAACAAACATTCCTGGTTTGCCCATCTTTGGGAAACATGACTAGGAAACAATGTTTCCTGGTTTGTCCACCTTTGGGAAACATGGCTAGAAACAATGTTTCAGGTTTGCCAAAACCATCAGAAAAACATGGTCAGGAAACAATGGTTTGCCCACTTTTGTGAAACACGGCTAGGAAACAATGCACCCTGGTTCGTACACTTTTGGGAAGCATGGCTAGGAAACAATGATTCTCTTGACAACAGTGTTTCGTGATATTCCTTTCACGAGTCTCTTGTTCTTCCGGTGAATGCGTAGTGGTCGGTATTTGAGCTCAAATACTCATCAATTCCAGTCCTTTGAACTTCTTCCCCATTTTATCAGATCACATATACGTGTATATGGTAACAATCCTGCTTCCTTCAAAGGGTCACCAGCAATAATCACAGTATAATTTTCTCCACAGATTTACGAAAACGGCAAGTTCTCGCATTATCTTGATGGCAATGATGAGAATAACTCGAGCTGGATGAGGTTCATACGCTGTGCTCGTCACAAGGACGAACAGAATATGGTCGTATTTCAGTATGGTAACAATATCTACTACAGAGCTGTGCGTGACATCCCCGCGGGAACTGAACTTCTCGTGTGGTATAATAATAACTATACCCAGTTCCTTGGAGTACCGCTCGGATTGCGTAATGTTCCCGGATGTAAGAATGATCAGGATAAAAAGATCTCCGCACAAACGGTAGGTTCTGATTATTTAAGGAATGCAGTAACATTTTGAGCGACATTATTTAATAACTCCAATATTGAAAGAGTTCGTGAATAAGGGGCGGACCATTAGAAAAGTGAGTGATGGGGGGGGGGCTTTTTCAACTTGTACGATATTTTTTTAAAAATTTTTTGGTTGTGTGGATAATTTTTTTAAATATAATCCCTTGCACGAATTTTTCTTTTATTTCAACTTATAATTTTCCCTATTGAAAAGTCTCTACACGAATTTTTTTTCAAACTTTTTTGGTGCACGAATTTGTTTTCTTTCTGTTTCCACTGCTCGATTTTTATTTTTGCTTCGCTTCATGTCTTTTGTATTGTGGCCATCCGAAATTCCGAATAAATCACTTCTACTTGACCGCTTGCAATTCAAGTCCTTGATTTTTATAGACTGGTCGATTGATACAAATTTCGACAACGAAATTTATGAAATTTTTCTATGCGTGCTTCAACTCAAGTGCACTTGTTTTGCGCATGCTCCAGGGCACCGCGCTGTACTACCATATCTGGTTAATAATTATTTTGAAAGCCATGCTATTTGCATTTTGCAACTTGAAAAACTAGGGTAAAATTTTGAAACTAAAACAAATTATTTCTACAAACAGGGCAGTCCAGTACCGCAAGCAGAAGTGAAGCCTGTGTTGAAAGAGAAAAATATTGATTTAAATCACACTGAAAACTACATGAAGAAACCGGTTCTCTACAGTCCAAACAAGACGCCTGCAACAACTGTCACGTATTGTTACTCGGCCAGTAAGCCAGCGTTGCAGCCAATCAGTTATTCCAATGGAATATCACCCATGAGTATCGACAAGCCGATTGTCACGATCGGTAAGTAAGGACATAACTTGAGTTTTTATTGGAAGAGGGTGCACCGGAATCGCAGGGCCTCAGATTCGATTCCTGTGCACCCTCTCCCGCAGGGCCCCAGAGAGCTATAGTTGCATTTTTCGCAACTTCTCCCATTCTCGTCTCCAGGGCCATTTTCACTCGGTCAGTTGTTCAAAATTAGGCTCTGGGTTAGACGACTAAAGGGAGAGATGTGATTGGCTTCTCAGAGAACTGCTGTTTCGCAGAAGTTGAGCAGTTTTCGCAAGGCAAAAGTTTTCTATCAACATATGCCAACACAAATACTTCGTTTCTTCGTAATACTTCTCTGTGAAAATTGTTACGGGTTCTAAAACGTCCCGTTAAATTCAAGAACACGCGCTTTAGAAACTACTGCAAGTTTTCTTGTACTTCCGGTTCCGTGTATCCCAGGGCCCATGGAGGTCGCGCGCGGCCAAGAGCCCCTGAGGACGAGGATAAACTGCTCCTGATTAGGTCTAATAAATGTATAAAATCCACACTCGAAATTTCCATATTCAGAACCCTTCACAATTTGTGATGTCGATGTAGCGGATTTCGATCCTGTGTCTTGAATTTTCCATTCGTTTCTTTGCAGAACACAAACCAGTTTTAACCAATGGCATCCTGTCACATGACCGTACCACGTCGCCTGGCAACGAGCAACGTTTGCAACACTTGACACGCGGTCCTTCGCCAAACAATGACGTCAGCAACAATTACTTTACGTTTTCTCCAAGAATATCATCACCTTCGAGTTGTTCAACATCTTCCATTTCAATTGCCTGCGATGATCGTGGAAGTCCACGCGAGAATCACATAAGTCCACGCGAGAATCACGTAAGTCCACGCGAGAATCACGTAAGTCCACGCGAGAATCACGTAAGTCCACGCGAGAATCACGTAAGCCCACGCGAGTATCACGTAAGTCCGCGCGAGAATCACGCAAGTCCACACGGTGAAATCAGCCCTCGTGAGAACGAGAATCTCGAGTTCTACAAACCACCTGAAAAGCCGTATCAATGCGGACACTGTTCGAGTTCTTTCGCTCAACCTTCGGAACTCTCCGCCCACGTAGTCACGCATACCAACGACAGGCCGTTCAAATGCGGTTTCTGTGGACGTTCGTTCGCGGGCGCAAGCACGCTTTACAATCATATGCGCACGCATACTGGCAACCGTGCATTTCTGTGCAATAAATGCGGATGTAAGCTGGACACGGCGACGCAGCTCAGCCGGCACATGAGAACTCCGGGAGAATGTCCCAAGGCGATTAATGTATCCCGCGAAGTTGTTCCCCCATACAGCTCGACAATGACCAGAGGATAAAGCTGAATAAGTGGTGATTTAGTTGAACAACACGTGTTCCTAAGGAGCAGCGAGGATGAATAGAGGATATTTGTTCTAACATCTAACACGAACCATGATTAAATTTATTAGAAGCGTTCTAGTTTTTTGAATATGATGGCTGCTTGGAATTCTTTTAGTAAGATTACACGGCTTCAAGCAATAGATAAAGTTTATTAAAGGATCTTTTGGAATGAGATATCCGTTCAAACTTTTGCCTTTAATTCAGAAATGTACGTCATAGATGCTCGAACCGGCTTTTGATTGTAGAGTTGTAAAATCACCACAGGCATAAAAAAACGGGCATGCAGATGAGAAACTCGTTAGAATTTAAATTTTGGAAAAGGTTTAACCTGTAATAATTGCTTTGTAATCTTTGCGTGACTGCTTTGTTCTGTAATACTCTCTGAGTCTTACTCTTGCAGTACAAATGTCGAGTTTATGTAAATATTAATCAGTGATTGGCCGATGATCGGCATCGGGCCGATTTTGGCCTTATCGGTAAACAATCGGAATCGGTAGAATTATCTGTATTTCCGATTGTGTCAAACCGATTGTTGAGAAAATACGCACTCAATACATTGCGCGTTGATACTTTTAACGCATTTTGGTTACGTTGGAAATTATCGTTAATAAATTGAAATGAATGACGTCACCTTTAATAGATCGTCTGGCATTATGAAGTCATTGTAAACTGTAAAGTCATTATAAAATCGGTAGATAATTCAATGAATAATCGGTAATTTCAGATCGTGGCACAATCGGTCAATTACTAATATTAAACTCCGTTGCCAACTTTATTCAACTGTCATGCTCGTTTAAAATGGATTTCAAGGAATCGAAGGCAATGGAATTCCCAAGTAAACCGTATTTGAATTTAGTTATGCCAAAGAAGTCTGACTTTGCAACTCTCTTTCGCATTAGTATGTTGAGGTGTTTACTTATTTTCCGTGAGGTCCAGCTTGGACAGTGGGAGAAATTATTTAATGTTTCAGATTGAGACAGTATTATATTATATTATATATGAAATTTCTACATACGGCAGGACCGTATATATTGTTAGAAAAAGGCAGTGTGAAGGTTGGACAGTGTATGTATAGGCATATACTATACATTATTAATATAAACATTGTAGATTAGTTCAAAAAATGTGAAAACATCAGCGCACAAAATGCTAATTAGTAATGCATGATACAGTAGTTGTTATTCGCAAAACGTTATAGAGAAATCGCTTGTAAATAGTTGCGGAATTATATTGTGCAGCCAATCTTTATTTGAAATAAATTATTTGTATTGTTTCATTAATATCTTTGTTTGTTAATTCACGCAACGTAATTCGCTGATGGAGATATGCAGTCTCCGTGCTGGTACTAATTGTTTGTTTTTTGTTTGCTTGCTTGCTTGTGTTTGTTTGTTTGTTTGTTTGTTTGTTTGTTTGTTTGTTTGTTTGTTTGTTTGTTTGTTTGTTTGTTTGTTTGTTTGTTGTCTGTCTGTTTGTCTGTTTGTTTTTCATTCATTATTTCATCCTTTCTCTCTCCATTAAAAGTTTTCTAGAGACTTCAAAATTTTCTGGGACAAAATCGCCCGAGGTCCGATACATTTTTCACCCCTGGCACACAATGGTAAAAAGAGGAAAAGTTCTTATTATAACCACAGTAATAAGTGCATCACGCTGATAATAAATCCGACTGATAATCAGCCGATAATACGAATCACGCTGATAATACGAATCATGCTGATAACGAATCACGCTGATAACGAATCACGCTGACAACATTGTTGATAATTTCATGCATGGGCATAATCCATTTTGGAAAATGGAAATTGGATAAAAATGCGAGAAAGAAATCAAGAGTCGCGCGCCATGGCACAGTACCCCCAAAAACGTATTTATGAATACGTCCAGTCAAATTTCTTGATAGACTATTTATTTCGTAGAACAACAGCTCTTTTTACGCATTCACGATGACCCGCATAGTAAATGCTTGTTCATGCACCTATACAGCGTGTACCTCATATACGTCAATTATTTAATCGTATTAAAAAGTGATGGATTTTAAGGAGCATTTACAACCCTTTTATTATTTGAAAAAACTAACTAGGAATCAATTCAGATCAGTAGAAATCAAAAAACTAGAAATCAATTCAGCAGAATTCAAGATCAGTGATCTCAATATTTCAAACATTTTTTTAAAATTTTTAATGTTAAAAACATTGAGATCACTGATCTTGAATTATGCTTATTAGATTGATTTTCCTAGTTAGTTTTTTCAATTAAAAGGGTTGTGATGCGCCTTAAAAACCGTAATTCAAAAAGCTGAACTGTGCCTTTGAATGCCATGTTACACGAGGCAATTTTTTATGCAACTTGCAACACAATTTCTGACGTAGAGCCATCTAAAGAGTAGTCGCTGGAAAACTATTAGCATGGCCAACAGTTGATTCTGTGGAATTTTTCATTCCATTTCTTTCACTTTTCATGCAATAAAAAATTAGCTTGTTTCATTCAAAAGAACTCTTAAAATTATATATTAAACTCTATTACCGATTTCTTTCATATCTTGCTTAGTTCTCGAAAGATTTAGACCGAAATTAATGAGCTTTCCGCTATCTTGGACTAATTCTTGACCTCATTAACTATGGTTTTGATGACGTCAGGAGTTGGGTTAACCATATAAAACTACTCTAAAATGGTCGAGGAACAATCCAAAATTGTTTGAAACGTTTTTAATCATTTCTAAATTTCAGACAGCAACCAGAAACGGAGTTTTGGACCCATATTGATCGCTTACTCTCAAGATAAAAAATTGGCATGACCCCTCTCTTGACGTGACATGCATATCCTCAATAATCCAAGATGGCGAACAGCTCACTTTTCAGTTGAAACATTTTGAAAACTACAAGTGAACTAAACTAATTTTTTATTGCCATATGTATAGAAAGTGTCGGCGGAATAGAATGCGGGCCATACTTACAATTTCCCGGTGACTACTTTTTAGATGTCAAGATTTTTGGGCATCGCGCCCGATAGAACAGTTGAAATGTTTTTGTATAGATGGAAATTTTGAGTGAAATTTTTCAGATCTAACCTTGTCTGGATATCGCGGAATTATTGAGATACAACTATCTAAACAATATATGGCAAGCCTTCGAATATTCTTCAGATAACATGGCTCTGTTTCCGAAATTGCATTGCAAGTTGCAGCAAAAATTGCACCGTGTAAAGCCCGTTCTCCACTAGGCGAATTTGTTCGCGCGAACAGTAAAAAAGTAGGAACTGATCCAACTTTTTCACGGCGGCTTTTTTGGCTGACCAATCACATTGCCAAGATTTGTTTTTCGCTTCGCGTCACTTACATGGCTTTCCGAGTGCGTTTACACGAAACTGGAGGAATTCGAAGCCGTACGCAATTTGTCTGGGAGTTCGTAAACTTAACTGTGCCCAAATTCGTCCTGTTTCATGCCTCCCCCCCCCCGCCGGAAATGAACCCTAAGGACAAATCGCGAGATTCAAAAACTTCAATTTAAAAATGCACGCACAGTGACTTAAAATATTGAGTATAAAATTACTCAAATTTATGAGCAAATTTACTATAATTTTTAGTGAAGTAAATCTTATCTAAAAAAATTGAATAAATTTGCTCAAAAGTTTTAACTTAGTCACTACTGGTGAGTGCATTATTTTACTCAAGTTTTCGAGTAAAATACTCAGGGATGTTTTGCAGTGTACGTTTCCGCCGAATTCATCCAGTTTTGAACCAGTGAACTCTCTATATATATCTGGAGTAAGAACTTCAGTCATTCGGCCTATGAGAAAAGTAAAACCAAGATGGCGGCCATTGACGTCCAATAGCTCTGAAGGTCGTAAACAGTTTTTATACCATTTTCCCCAGCTAATTCCAGTTTTTTCTAACGGACCGTATCGCTAATCAAGTTTTCAGTTCATAAAATCATAATATTATTCTATAAATCGAAGTCAAAACGCAAAATTTCGGCACACTCCTTGCCAGACAAAAACAATAGAAAGGAAATTGAAATTGACGTCCAATAGCTCCATCTTTGGCTTCACTTTTTGGATTCGAGTTTTCGCTCCAGGTATATATGGAGCTCAGTGTTCCGAACCAGTGAGCTGCATATATAACCATTGAACTATAAATAAACTGGAAGGCTAATTCAGGGGGGGGGGATTGAAGCCAGTGCATTTTAGTTTTTCTGAGTTATGAGTAGAAATACTCAACACTGAACGTTGTGCTGTATATGAAACTGAAGCTATTGAAAAACGGTATTTGGTGTAGAAATTTCAAGACTTTTAGCTAAAAGGGAAATATTGAAAAACTACAAAAATAATTGCCGATAATTTGCCATTTTGTAGTTGTTTTTGCATTTTTAAAATATTTTTCTTTTCCCTGTAGTCTTGAAATTTCCACACCGAATAGCAATTTTCAATAGCTTCAATTGATATATAGCCCAACGTTTGGGATCAGGTATTTCTGCTCATAACTCAGAAAAACTATTTTGGCTTCATCAAATCATAGGCCTTCATCATAGCAGTTAGCCTTCCAGTTTATTTATAGTTCAATGTATATATCTCTGGAGTAAGAATCACGTGCAAAAAGTGAAGCTAAAGATGGCGAAAACTTCACTTTTCTCATAAGCGGAATGACGAGGATATTACTCCATGTATATATAGAAAGAGCTCACTGTTTCGTGCAAACGGAAGGATAAATAAAATTTGTTACCTATGTTATTATTTTCTTTCTTGAAATTTCCACAGTCGTCCAGGCAAGGTGATCTCAGAAACATAAACGACCTTCCCTGATTGGTCACATGTGATATCGTGCGGATATGTAAATTCCTAGAAAACAACAACACACCTTAATGAATCTGTAAACTCGTCGGAGTGCAAATGCAACTTCGCCTCGCCCGACCAATTAAAACTAAGTTCATTTATTTGGGACATCTCTATTATATTTATCCATCTAACAGACCTTCCATGTAGACCATTCTGACACCACCCGACAACCTGACAATGTTACACCATCTTCACCATCTAATGGACCTTAATTCCCTGTAAACCCATCTGACACCACCCGACAACCTTACATCATCTTCACCAACTGACGGGACCCTCCATGTAGACCCACCTTACACCACCTCATAACCTGACAACCTTACACCATCTTCACTATGTAACAGACCTTCCCTGTAGATTCTTCTGACACTACCTTACACTACCCGACAAGCTTACATCATCTTCACCAACTGACGGGACCCTCCATGTAGACCCATCTGACACCACCTTATAACCTGACAACCTTACACCATCTTCACTATGTAACAGACCTTCACTGTAGATTCTTCTGACACTATCTTACACTACCCGACAACCTTACATCATCTTCACCAACTGACGGGACCCTCCATGTAGACCCATCTGACACCACCTTATAACCTGACAACCTTACACCATCTTCACTATGAACAGACCTTCCCTGTAGATTCATCTGACTACCTTACACTACCCGACAACCTTACATCATCTTCACCAACTGATGGGACCCTCCATGTAGAACCATCTGACACCACCTTGCACCATCTTTGCCATCTAACAGGACCCTCCTGTAGAACCATCTGACACCACCTTACACGACCCGACGACTTGACACCATCTGACAGGACCCTCCGTGCAGAACCATCTGACACCACTTTGCACCATCTTTACCATCTAACAGGACCCTCCTGTAGAACCATCTGACACTACCTTACACGACCCGACGACCTGACACCATCTTTACCATCTGACAGGACCCTCCGTGTAGAACCATCTGATACCACCTTACACCACCCGACAACCGATAACTTGAAATCATCTTATCTTACACCTACTTTACCATCTTCACCATCTGACAACAGACGGATGTATTGTACATAACTCAACCTTTAACATGCAACCGAGGTGAAATTTAAATCACACAACAGCACATTACGGCGTGCGCAGCAACTCAATTCTGTCTACTTACTGCTTTTGGCAGCCACTCCTGGATAATTTTCTTTGTCTTCAAATGAAGTGTTGATCCATAAATGGACGGTTGGCTCGGCGACTGACCATTAATAACGTACAACACTCCACCTGTAGAATGCAGATTGAATAAACTAAATAATGCTGGGTCTGGGGAGTGGGGCTGCTTCTGCAAATCGCAAGTAGCGCTAACCCTAGGTTAAAATTTAACCCGTTGTTTTGATTTGTGCATTTATGCACGTCCGTTGATTTCAAAACGTGAGAAACTAAAACTTTTATTGATCCAAACAAGATTTTTAGAAAAAATATTTTCAAGTTTATAAACAAGCCGTTGGAAAGTTTGCTTTGTAGTTTACGTTAATCTAGGATTAAGTTAACCGGTTCAATTCCTGCCAGAGGTCTATCGATTGCATTTTTCGCTTCTGTTCCTGGTTAGGTCTGATTAATGTATGTAAATTTCCACTCAACAATTTCTATCTACATTATCCTTTACCCATCAAATGTTATATATTGGCAACCTAATTTGCACCAGCCCCGTCATTGTCTCGCATTATGATTGTTGGCCACAAACTTCAAATTATTATAATCAATCAATAATTTATTCAAAGTACCTACAATAATATTGAGGCCCTTGCAGGAGATCTGGAGGTTAACCCTATATAAAGATCACCTTTACCTATTACTAAGTTAAAATACCTAAATGTTAAATTACAAATAACGGCTTATTGACCTCGCTTGTTCGGTCTGTACTGTGAAATATCAGACCGAAGTAGTATGGACCGAGAGACGAAGGAGCGAGGTCCATGAAAAACAGAGGTCTGATATTTCACAGTACAGACCGAACAAGCGAGGTCAATAATCAGTTTATTGCATGGCTGAACTGAGTGTGTGAGCATATGCTTTTCGCGCGAATTAAATCGGCTATCGTCAGTTTCACTAAGTAACAATATACGGTAGGCATGCATGCTCAATCAAAAACAATTTGGTTGTTTGAAATTTTTATCTGTAAATTTTAATGACACACAATTGGAAAATTAAAAAGCAAAAATTTTTTCTGTTTGCAAAGCAAAAACTTCCCGCCAGATAAACGATATCCGGGACACCGATCCAGATACGGAAAATATAGACCACGGTCCAGATATGGGTTTTTACGAACCGCTTGTCAACCAATCAGAATAGAGAATATTGAAAAGCCATATAATAATAATTTATATCAGCGTACCATGCAATGGTGAAAAGGAAATAGCAAAGACTTTATCTCCAAATCCCGTATAGTGTTCACGATAGTTTCCAGACTGGCTATCAAATGCTAACACACGACCATTTTCACGATCTGCGACATACAATAATTTTCCAAGGTGGTCCAATGACAAGCTGTGTGGGATGAGGAAGCTCCGTGGAAGCGGGAATCCAGCTAAATGTGAAAGAAAAAATACAACAGTTCAACACAGCTGTCGTCAGAGCATGCGTCTTTCACCTCTGAGATCGTGGGTTTGATTCTCGCTACGGACTCATATGAAAAGAGTTACAGACTCATGTGAAGAGTCAGTCAACGCTCTGCCGAAAGTCGTGGGTTTTCTCCGGGTGCTCCGGTTTCCTCCCACAGGGAAAGTCGACAGGGTGGGTTAGGATAGACACAGTTAAGAAAGTACTAACACAATGGACCATTTGCATTATAGACTAAATTTTGATCTAGACAAAAATTTCATCACAGCTTGAAAGAGCATCACAAAATTAGTAATATTCCAAAGTTTCGTTGCGAAATGTTGTAAAATGCGGATAATATAGCCTTGCGAAATTTGCAATTTTCAGTCATTTTGTATTACAAACGGGAAATTGATGCCCCAACACCCGATTGGGCTGTCAATTTCCCGTGCGTAATACAAAATGACTGAAAAACGGCAAACTTCGCAAGGCTATATATATATTATCCGCATTTTACAACATTTCGCAACGAAACTTTGGAATATTACTAATTTTGTGATGCTCTTTCAAGCTGTGATGAAATTTTTGTCTAGATCAAAATTTAGTCTATAATGCAAACGGTCCATTGTTGTAAAGATAAAATAATCTGCGCGGCTAAAAACGATCAGGTCGTTGCAATAGTCGACGAAAACAGGATTGAACAATGTTTTGCTGCCCCACATTGTTCACAGTTGTTAACAATATTGAACGATATCGTTGCACCCGATTCAGGCTCAACAATATTGTTCAATATTGTTGACAAGTGTGAACAATGTGGGCAGCAAAACATTGTTCAATCATGTTAAACAGCGGGCTCAGCGTTTTTACGCGTGTAGGCTAAGTATGACCAACTCCCATGAACCCTCTTGCAACTCGTGTCCTCGTTTGACCGAAAAGTTGGGGTTGACTCTCATGCAAACCCTCGCTTGCCAACTCTCATCAACTTTCCTCTGGTTAAACTGTGATGAGAGTTGATGACAATTGCAGGATTTTGCCATGATCTTGCAGGATCTCGGAAAGATCTTCCCATAACTTGCAGGATTTATAGATAAGATCTTGGGAAAATCATGCCAATATCTTGGATAAGATCTTGCCAAGATCTTTCTGGGATCTTGACAAGATTGAAGATTGTCAACCTGGGAGGGCGCATCAAGGCGCATTGCCACTTAAGGGCTGTTTTCATTGTACATCTTACTTACGTGTCGTGAGTAAGAGATGATCGTCTATAATAATCACGACTTTTCCTTTTGGAGAAAACTTCAATACACGACTGTTGCAGTAGCTATAAATAGTATTTAATATAATATGATGGTTAGTGCCGGATTTATTCCTGCAATATGCAAGCAGTTGTACCATGGAATCCCAATGGAAGTTGAAGTGGGAGGCTTTCTGAAAGAGGTAGACAGCTATGTGGTGCCCAAGGTAGGGCCGATGGGAGGGGGTCCAAGTGTGTCTCCCCATGAAGATTTTGTCATATTATCCATTCGGATACTTAACAAAGAATATCACGTAAAAATTAAATTACAAAAGCAAGAAACCCTTTCCCTTGACATTTCTGTAGTAAGGACGTGATATTTTGGTTTGCAATTTCGAGAAACAGGCGAATGTCAAGATGTGAACTTTTTACTTGTGACACTACGTTTCTTCATTAGTAACACGGCTGGAGCAATCATTCAGGAATGACCATCATGGCCCCTTCTGAACACGAATGGAGAACAGTTTAGACAAATCTGATAAGTTGAGTTTAAAAACAGCTAAAACTAGCACTTGTCGTGGTCACCACGCTTGCCGCTGGGAGACCTGGGTGCAATCCTTGGTCGGACCTCTACTCAAGGTCTTAAAATAATTGAGGAGAAAGTGCTACCTTTACATTAACATCAGTAAATGGTTGGCCTTTCGCGTCTTCTCGGATAACGACGTTTATTATTAACATGACAAAATTACTGGATGCTGATTGGTTGAGAGGAGTACAATCATTTCATTAATTGTACTGCAGTACAATTAATGATTTTCCCAAAACAAACAAAATGGCGGAAAGGTATTTTAAACACAAACGTGAACCGAAATTGCCCTAGAGGAACTAGATGAAAATACGAACAAAAGCACAAAGTTTTGGTTGAAAGTCTGGCAGGACTGGGCTTCGGCGAGAGAATATGATGTTGACTTTGAGAAGTATCCAATTTTGTCATGCTAATAATAAACAAGTAATCATGCGCTGTTGCTCGTACAATTAGGAATTAATCCCTAATTATTGTACTCGCCATCGCATGATTACCTATACTAAAATCGTACATACCTCGGATCCCTTATCAATTGGGCAAAGCCTGTTGGGAAATTAATCCGCTCACCAATAAATGAGAAACTCGATAAACTCAAACTCAAAAAATGTCTAAATTGCGTTTACCCGTCAGAGACAAAAAAGCTGCCGTCTTTTTCCACTGCGACATCCGTAGGTTTACAAAAGTGTTCCCTGTCGTTCCCAGGGACAAATCTTTTACCCAATTCCAGGAGTTTGTCCCCATCTTCAGAATATTTGAATACCTAAAAGTTGATAATATGCAAGGGTAATATTGGCACTTAGTGCTTTGTTAAACCAGTTTTAAACTGGTTTTTCGTATCTCTGAGGATTGTTCTGAAATAGTGCTTTGCTAGTTAGGCTCTTTGAAGTGAGACAAATTAACTAAATTTTTACTTGCAATGTTCCTAATACCTGGTGCATTCCTACGTCTGTGAACCACATGTTATTTTCATCATCAATTGTTATACCATGTGGAAAATGAAACCTAAAACACAAAGATTACACCTATATTACAGGCATTACATAACCCTATAGGTTAACCTAAAATTCAAAGCAAACTATCCAACAGCTTGTTTATAAAATTTGGACATATTTCTTCAGAGATCTTGTCTGACCCTGTAGGAGTTTTCTTCTCTGAAGTTTTGAAACAAACAGACGAGCTGAAGTACACAAACAGAAACAGCGGGTTAACTTTTAACCCAGGGTTAGCGCAAATTCAGCTTTGAACAACCGGCCCCAGGGGACGTTTGTTCGAATGCCAGTTAGCTTAATCCTAGGTTAACAAAATCTTCAAAGCAATCTTCCCAAAAGCTTGTCTATATAAACAATGATATAGTTTTCTCTAGAAATCTTGTCTGGATCAACAGAAGTTTTATTTTCTAAAGTTTTGACATAAACAGACGAGCTGAAGCACACAAACTGAAACAGCAGGTTAAATTTTAACCCAGGGTTAGTGCTGATTCAGCTTTAAACAACCAGTACCAGGGCACTTTAGTATTATGGTATGGTTAGTTTGGCAAGGAATAGCATAGTAAGTATGGCATAGTGTGTTATGATGTAGTATGGCATCGCATGGTAAAGGATGGTATAGAATGGTGTGGCATGGTAAGGTATGGTGTAATGTATGGTATGGTATGGTGGTGGGGTGTGATATGGTATGGTAAACTGATCACATTAAAAGTATTATATCAAATTACTTTTTCTTGCCCCAAGTTCTTGATACTTCTCCTGTCTCTTTCTTCAGAAACCAAACAGGATCTTGAGCGATTGCCGCTTCTCTCAACTTGGGATTAAGCTGATTGTTTTGGTCAAATGTGCTGGGAAAATGAGAAAAGTTTGGAAATAATGAAGTGTATGGCACATCCAAGCAAGCGTATGCTATAGGGAACACATAATCCTCCCGGAATACCAGAATGTACATGTAAACATGAAATGTACATGAAAAAATAATAAGTTTCCGTTTTTCCAATTATTAGAGGGCATCGAAAATTCAAACTAAAAGATGAAATTTGAAAAACAAATTTGGTCTAGTACACCAAGGTAATGGCTGCCTTTTAGTAAGGGGTAATTAAACCTACTTTAACACAGCCATAATCTGGTTAACGTGTTTTTAAGTAAAGGGAAGTTATCCAACCTAAGAAAATCCTAACCTCGACCTACAGTAACAGTTTTAACTCTGCAGTAAGGGGATCAACTGCTACCTGTATTCCAAAAGTTTGCCCATCCTGCTCGGTAGAACAAGGTCAAACGTTGATGGATTATAATAATCAGTGGTGGATTTATAGGAAGGGTGCACAGGGGTGTGCACCCCTGTTGGCCTTGGTCAACAGCGGTGCAAGGGTGGGGGGTTTGTGCAAAAAATTAAATTTATCTTACTTTTAAATGTTTGAGGTATTCAAAGTATGTTATTAGTTTTGGAATTCAAGGCAGCACCATAGCACTAGTTCAAAATACTAGTGGGTCCAGTGTTGGTGGTTGGTTTGGATTGATACTTTGAATACGCTGCTGGGCTCAGGTGTGCTTGGCTGTTCGCACAGCACCCCCTGAAAAAACCTACCTGGATCCACTACTGATGATAACTATTAACTTACTTCAAATCCCACTTTCTGTCGCCACGATGAAAGATAACAACATCTCCTGTAGTTTGAACTGCCACTCCAGCAATTTGACCAACTTTATGCTGGGGGTTGCTTTCAGGCCAGTTTAAGACCTCGGTTAATTCACGAAGGTGTTTGTCTTCCACTTCATCTAAAACATACCACCAATATGTACTCATCGTGTTGTACACGCGTGAAAATCTCACAGCTTGACAATAGGATGTGTTCCCACTGCTTGTTCCCAGGTGTTGACAAGTCTGGAACAAGTTGTTATCACCTTGTAACAAGGTTGACAAGGCCGACAGACTCGCAACAAGTTGTTCCAACCAGTCTGATATCGTCTGCACGTAACTAGTTGTTAACAAGATGATGACAACAAGCTCGTAGCAACTTGTTACGAACAGCTCGGAAGAACAAATGTCCGGCCAAGACAAAAATTGGCCAGACATTTATCAACTTCTCTCGGACAATGACAATGGTCAAAGTCAAGTTTTTCATATATTTTTGAAAATTAGCACGATGCATTTCGGCTGGTCATGTTAATCCGCACTGCAATGAATCAACTGCGACTGAGCATATATCTGACAGTCCTAATGCATCACTATATGATGAGTCAGGGTTATACATAACTTCTTCCAAGTTATACGAGAGCGATTTTGAATAATATTGGTAATTAAATCCTACGGCTCATTTTTTTTTAGATTGGAGTTTTTACCAGCCTAAATCTGTCAGTCACATGTCCGGTCATAAAAAGCTTTGATCGGACAAAAGTCTTGGCCGGACAATGCCCGACCACAAGTTTGCAGGTGTAATGTTGGATGGAAAATAATTAATACCAAAATTATTCGAACCGAACCCAAATCAGAACAAGTTACCAAGACATACTCGAAGAAAAACAGACAAACTCTAGATAGTTTGAAATACTGTAAAATGTTTTATTTAATTTTAGTCATGAACTAATTCCACATACTTTAGAAGTAACTAATAACAACTAACAGATCTCTATTTGCAAGAATTAAATAAAAGAAGTGTGTTTTATTAACGATATAATTTATGTTTAGATTTCTATTTAAGGATATAAGTGAATTTCTATACAGTATTTTCATTCTTGCGCTCTTGCTGCTTTATATTATTATTGATTATTTTTGCCAATTTTCTTCACTTTCTGAATCAAAGACGTGTTCATCAGGATCTGGGTTAAAATCGAAACAATGGTTTAGGAGTTGGTCGTTTCAATTCGAGTATGCCTTGGCATCAACACTAAAATCTACTTAGTCGCCCCCACCTCATTTTAACCCCACCCCCTTCCAATTAGCCCTCCCAGAAATAAGTCCCAGCCTCTATTTACCTCCCCCCCATCTCTAATTACAGTAAATCATTCTTAATATAAACTTGTAGCGAAATATGAACACATCACTGATCTCCAAAAAACTAGCACTGGATAGTGCATCTGCAATGCATAAATGAAGCCAACGGCTGCCATATTGATGTGACCAGCACAAATCTACTGTGGTGTTGATGACATATTAGAAGAGGTTCTTAAAGTTTCTGGTGATTGGTAGAAATAAAATAATATTGTCTACAAAGAAATTGGTTTGTGACCTCTCTTTTCTTCTGGAATTAGCCAGTAAACAATCAATGAGGTCACACCAAAATGACCGCCTCAAGTCTCATTATCTCGTGTTCACAACGATCTAAAACTCATTAGAAGAAATGCGGGAAGCTGTATCTTTCACGTTACATAGAAGAAGATATTTGCTTCATAGCATAACTGATTTAAACAAGTAACGATTTGATTCGTAAGGAATGTGACAGATTTAAAATCTCCCCTCATAAAAATTCTGGCTTCAAAATTAATTCCCTGAGTTCAAAAGGTTTCTCTATCCAGTCTAAGTTTTGGATCAGTGGAACACATACGTCCTATATTCGCGGGTTTCATATGACGTCACGTGGGAGTTAAGGGTCTATGGTGTCAAGGGTAAAAGACAGCTTTCATATTGGCTTTTATAATAGTCGGAGAACTCATTTACATAAAATGCGTTGACAGCTCCATTTTGTTCCTTTGTTGTTTTAGTTGACCTCAGTTCAATGATTGACCCCCTGAAAATTTATTTAGCTCCCCATTCGCTTAAGCTAAACTTCACGTGTTAACTAAGGGACGGACCATTAGAAAAGTGATGGGGGGGGGGGGGTATTTTCTAAGAGGCAATATATATTTTTGAAGAAATTTTTCTCACTTGATGATGGCTGGACTCAAAAGGGAATTTTTTGCACTATGCCACTTTTTTTGGTTTTGCCCCCCCCCCCCCATCACTTTTCTAATGGTCCATCCCTAACTCACCATTCAACTGTCGTTTCATCTCCATCTTTCTCTCAGCCGTTAGTGGTTCATCGGTCTCCGCTGGGTAGTCTGCTGATTGAAATGCGGTATAAGCACAAGCATCTGTAGACAGACCCTCTGCTGGATCAAACCAATACATCATGTAGAAATTACACATCTCATCTGTACGTGTGGCCCTGTGGAGGAAAATATCATTGTTCATCAGGGATGGATTTACTTGGGAAGGGGTGTATAGGGGTGGGGGGTGGTGGGTTAGAATCAAGCCGACGTTTATGCCCGCCGCGAAGTGTCCCTTCGTCGCAAGTACACACGTAAAAACGCACAAGTTGTAACAAACTTGCAGCACACTTGTAGCAATGCTGTTCCAACTTGTCAACAGGATGTGCGCGCACTGATTGTTCCCAGCTTGTTGACAAGTTGTGAACGGCTTGTTGACAACTTGCTACAAGGTTATTGAGCTCAACAGACTTTTACAAATTGTTCCAACAACTTATTCTCGTCCTGCAATTCAACAATTTGCCAACAAGTTCACACTGACAACCTTGTAGCAACTTGATAAACAGCAATGTTGTAACTGGTTGACAAGCTTGCTGCAAGCCTGTTGCGAACACATCTTGTTGACAAGTTGTGAGATTTTTACGTGTGTAGACCGTCTGCAACGCAGGCTACCTGTGACTCACAGAGCGATAAAGGAATAATAGATCTCCAGATTATACTGGAAACAAAAATAATGGATAGGTCAGTTTTAAAATGTTTTCCCTAGAGGTCCAGGAAGAGGCTCTCTGGTACAACAATAGTCCAGCGTTATTACAAGAGAAAAATGAAGTATATGTAAAAAACCTGCGCTGTTGGTAGAGTCAAATATGAAACACTCTTCTCACATTTACAATTGAAACCATATGCTTACCCAATATATGTGGTTTCCTCTCTTTTCAATGAATTGTAAGTACATCTAGCCGCCTAAAAATGGAACACAAATTGTCATTGCTACCTGTTCGCCAGAGAATATTTTTACAAAATTGAACAGAGAATATTCAGAATATTGAGTACATACAACTTTATCGCCAGGAAGAACAGAGTCTTCGCTATCAACATGATAAAATGCCTTAAAAATATTTATAATACGTAAACATGAGAATGTCTTTATTATAGATTGAAACAAAATAAATACATAAATGCTGCGTGTGCACATATCTATGGATGAATGTTACTGTGTCTAACCTGAGGACGTCTTGGATCACCCTTGCCAATAAGATGCCATTTACCCTCGCGTACTCTGTAACCAGTTACCACATATCCTAAAAATGGGGATTGGTTTATTGTGTGAGAGTCTAATAATTATAATATACATCTTTATAGTTCATCTTTGTTATTTCACTTATTTGTTGGTGTTATTTTTTGTAGTTGTGGCTGTCATTGATAAAATGTTTTAGAGTTGCTGCTGTTGTTTATTGTTACTGTCCCTGCCATTCTTACTTTTTGTTGTTGTTGTTGTTGTTGTTGTTGTTGTTGTTGTTGTTGTTGTTGTTGTTGTTGTTGTTGTTAGCTTTTGTGTTGTTGTTGTTATGGGTTGTTGCTGTTAGTTGCTGTTGCTGTTGTTGTTGTTGTTGTTGTTGTTGTTGTCGCTATAGTTGTTGGTTTCTGTAGTTGTGGCTGCCATTGATATTTGATAAAATGTTTTAGAGTTGCTGCTGTTATTGTTACTGTCCATGCTATTCTTACTTTTTGTTGTTGTTGTTGTTGTTGTTGTTGTTGTTGTTGTTGTTGTTGTTGTTGTTGTTGTTGTTGTTGTTGTTGTTGCTGACTTGCTGTTGTTGTTTCTGTTGTTGCTAGCTTTTGTGTTGTTGTTGGTTGTTGTTTTGACTGAACATTGTTGTTAGTTTGTGTTGTTGTTGTTGTTATGGGTTGTCGTTGTTGTTGTTGTTGTTGTTTTGTTGTTTAATATCGCTGTTGTTGTTAGTTTTTGTTGTTGGTAGTGGTGATTGTTGTTGTTGTTGGTCGTCGCTGACTATTGTTGTTGTTGTTGTTGGTGGTGAAGGTTGTTGTTGTTGTGTTGGTCTTGTTGCTGTTGTCCACATTGTTGCACTTTCTGTACGTCTTTATGGTATCTTCAAAATTGATATTACTAAAACCGACTCTTACCCAACTTGTGTGTGTGGACTCGAAAAGCGAACGGATGCATTTCAGGACCCATCGTATACTGACAAGCCATGTTCATGTCAAATACTGCAAATAAAACACGTTTAACATTATAAATAAGCTTTTACGAGGACATAAAAAGTAAGCACAGTTATTTTCGTCTTTGTTAGAAGTACCTGTTAATTTTTCATACCTTTTTGCTTAGCAGGAATAGGGGGACCTCCGGCAGCCACCAGGTAAATCCCAGCAAAATACTTTGGCCTGAAAATATGAGACGAATGAATGTGAACTATTTTTTTCTAATCAAAACATAATAAAACTGCTTTCATCAGTATATGACATTATCAGGCATATATAGTGTACGCGATTTGACAACGGGTCAACACTTCCTGTTTAAGTTCAGTTTTCAAAAACAAATCAAAATTGCCTCGCAAGTTTTGGGCTTGGACATAAATTTTATAGATGGGAAATCTTAACTGTACACATCATTTAGGCCACGCACCGGCCAATTCGACTTACTTTTTCGATTGAAGACGTAACACAACGCCAGAATGGTCTGTTCCATGATGCACTAAAAACATGTTTTAAGTTAGAACTGAAGTTGATTGGTTAAAATATAACATTCGCTGTTTTTCCAAAACAAAAGACTTACATTTGAATTTGTCAACATTTGCATAGTGGACTTGCAAAACAATGTATTTTATTCGACTGCTCCCTCCAACATGGAAACCAACATCTGAAAAAATAGCATTCAGAATAGTCAAGCAAAATTAATTGCAGTGGAAAAATTTTGCAGTGGAAAAAAGAATTCTCTTTCTGTGAACATACCCTGAAAATAAAATATTCCTACAGACTGGCGTATTTCTTAACATCTATATAACATATATTGAGTGTCGAATCATACGAATAGAGTGCTCGATACGTAAGTAGAGCAAATGAAAGACAAACTTGAGTTACTTCGTTTAAAACATTTATTCACGACAAATTTGTTTCGTATGGCAAACTAAGCTTGCCACACTCATCAGGTGAATGATGATATCGCGTATTTACATGATGTTATAACCCATAACATCATGTAAATACGCGATATTATCATTCACCTGATGAGTGTGGCAAGCTTAGTTTGCCATACGAAACAAATTTGTCGTGAATAAATGTTTTAAACGAAGTAACTCAAGTTTGTCTTTTATATATATATAGGTAAATACTATCTACTGTACTGAGCATGGTTTTAAATATGTCAGTGATAAGGAATGATTTCTGCAGCCTAAATACTTATCCACCTAAATTAACAATCTCGACAATGTAAAACTGAGTTTACGTATTTACTGACCATAATATTTAACTAAAGCATGAGCTCACAACTCAATCAAATCGTTTTAAGAAATCGACGCACGCTAGTAGTAGACGTTCTGCTAATCGCTAACTATATATAGTCGAAGCACAAATTGGTGGGATGCACTCCCCCTGTACCCCACGGTAGATCCGCCCTTGTTGAGAAGTAGTCGTCTAAATTCAAGTCAAGAGTACGTAGCTGTCAAGAGAACAGTTGGACGGTTTGTTCTTCAAATTCAGCTTTAATGAGTTACAAATCTTCAAATTAATAAATTTTCTGCAGCTGGTTAAAATTTCTTAACTATTTTTCCCATCCCTGTGCACAGCACTTGCCAAGATTTATGTATGAAAGAGAAAATCTACTTCAGTGTTATGACAAAATAAGTTTCAACTTAAATTCACTACTTACTCTTGGGAAGGCTTAATGCAGGAGCGTCCATTGCCCAAGCATACATAATCTTATTCACTCTTCCTTTACAAGTTCCTCCCATTTCGTTACATTCCCTGTTGATAAAGTTAAGAATTTAATATACACTCAGTCGAACCCCCTCCCTTCGAGTTTAAGTTTTGAGGAGACAGTTTTCTTTTGAAAGACAAATTAAAGAAAGAAAAGGTGTCTGTTAAGGGGGCTCCCTACAGTTGTTTAAGCATGGGACTGGTAACGAAATGACGTGATCTTGTCGAGTTGAAATTGTATCACGTCAAGCAAAAATTTCATTTGACCGTGCAAGGTTTAATAATATAAATGCAATTACCTTTTTTCATGTATGTGTTTTGGAGATTTTAAAGGATATTTTTACAGTAACAACTCTACTTAATCACAAACGAATCCAAAACATTTAACATAGGAAGATATAAAATTTCCATTGCAAGAAATAAAAATATAATAGACATACTTGTTACTGGGGAGTCCAAGGGCATGTAGTAATATAGCCAGGGGGCATCCCCTCCCCCCTGCCATCCAAAGAAACTGCTGTTAGATTTATCTCGAATGGTGCCATGCAGCGTGTATGAGAGATGATAACAAAAACAAACTTTGTGATGTTTTAAACCCTTACCAGTGTCCTTCAGAGCCCTTGCCATCAACGTCATCACAACCAAACATCAACATGTGATGAGCAGTCTGCATCTTAGCATGAGGCTCATACCCCACTGAAAAGTAATGTTAACATGTTAAGTGCCAGCACTCTCCCCTTGACGAGTAAAATCATCTGGCATTAGACAGAGTAAAATAATCTGGGGAATAACAAAGTAGGGCGCATTTAAGGACACACAACATCACACTTTCCCAAGGTGAGTAAAATCATCTAGCATAGTAGCATTAGACAAAGTGGGGCACTTTTGGTCATTATGAAATGCAACAAGTGCTCATATTATTTTTGATCTTATACTAAGTGACCATGGATCTTATGTATAGGGCAGGGAAACCATCCCCTCAAAAAATTTCTGAAAGCCATTGAATGGTACATATAGCTGAACAATAGACCTTTCCCCTTATAACCAAAATTTTGATCTAGGCAAGTCTAGACAAATATTTCATCACAGCTTGAAAGAGCATCACAAAATTAGTAATATTCCAAAATTTCGTTGCGAAATGTTGTAAAATGAGGAAAATAGAGCCTTGCGAAGTTTGCAATTTTCAGTCATTTTGCATTACAAACGGGAAATTGCAGCCCCAACACCCGAATTGGATGTCAATTTCCCGTTTGTAATACAAAATGACTGAAAAACGGCAAACTTCGCAAGGCTATATTATCCGCATTTTACAAGATTTTGCAACAAAACTTTGGCATATTACTAATTTTGTGATGCTCTTTCAAGCTGTGATGAAATTTGTGTCTAGATCGAAACTTTAGTTATAAGGGGAAAGGTCCATTGTGGGTATAATAATGGTATTTTTAGCTCAAATAAAGTATGCAAATTTGCATGAAATATACAGTAACTTAATTAGGCAATACAGCTTAATTAACCCACTGAGGGGCAGCAGAAAGCAATAGAGTAAGGATCATTGATCAGGGTACATTGCCAGTTAAAAAGTTAATTAAAGAACTGAACTTTCCCACACTAAAATGGCGATAATACAGTGACAACCTCAACCTTAAACCTGCCCCTCCCCCAATATGTTTTGAGGTGTCAGCCACTGCTATAATACCGTACTGTACCTATATATGCATCTTCGTCAGGCATCTTCTTTGCAGTACAGAAGTATGTGTCAGGCTAAAATGTATAAATTAATGTTAACTCATTGAGCACCAGCACTAGCTCTCCCCTTGACAAGTAAAATGGTCTGGCATTAGACAGAGTAAAACAATAAAGTGGCTAGGGCACATCCATTAGAGAGCAATGCAACTATAATGGATTAACTATAGACAAATAGGGCAGATAGTCTGATTAACCCATTGAGTGCCATTACCACTGAGCTCTATATATCTGGAGCAACAACTTCAGCCATTCAGCCTATACGAGAAAACAAAGTGAAGCCAATTAGGTGTCAAGACAGTGGAAATCACTTTTTGGATTCAAGTTTATGCTGCAGATATGTATGCATGGAGCTCACTGGTGCTGGCCCTTGATTAGAAAAATATCTGCAGTTACAGTCATATTAAAATAATGAAGTATAGAGCACATTTGCATTGGCGCAATTACATGCATTACTTAACAGTTAATTCACTTAAGCCAAGCACGCTAATTCACAAGCATACGCCTGTAATTATAATATGCATATATTTTAGCACCTATATATATGATTGATAATATTGAGCAGGATGTTGAAAGTAATTCTTACAAAATTATATTGGTCCCTGTGTAATGTTTTAATTGATATTTTTTGAGGTTGAACAAAAAGTATTGCATAGGAACTTGGCAATTAAGCTAGTACAGCCTGCCAAGTCCTTCTATTGCAAGTCTTGTGCATAACCTTTGGTAGCAAGTTGTTCTGCCATTGACTTGCCATGCCAACAATCTGTTTACCAGTTCACTTCTCAATCTACAGCCGTGTCCCAAACATTTGCTTCCCGCCATATTTTGTCATACTGCTATGTTAACTCATTGAGAGGAATATCCTGATTGTCTATGGTTAGCTCTGGTAGTAATATTATATTGAGATGTTTGTACTAGGCATGAATAAAACTAGCCATAACCAGGTACAGCTGTAGCCTTTTATGAAGTGCTTATGTAAGTATAACCTCACGAGAAATGTACTGTGTTTCTCCTAATGTACCGGTCAGAGAATAAACACGTAAAGAAGTCCAACTTCATGCCACCACCTTTGATGTTAGCAGAAGCAGCCGCCATATGCTCCTAGCTAGTGCACTAAGGGAGGTTGTCACCCCCTGAAAACATTCACAATTTATTATAGCCAGCTTGGCTTAGACGTTCAGGAGGGGGAATGCTTATCATAAATACACTGGCTATAGGAACATGGCAACAGCATTGCAAGTGCTTTGAGATTGAGAATACATAGCATGGCAGCAGTTGTGGGTTTTTGGCGGAGTCAGACCTCTCCCAGCGGCGCAAATGATGTTTTCAACACAACATCAGACATGACCTCCTACTGACATTAGATAGACATCGAAAAAGGATCGAAAATGCAAATTGGATTGACATCACTCTGCTGATGTTCAGTTGAAACATAATGATTCAGTTTAGGTTTCCAATCTCATCAACCATAATACAACGTTGAACCAACGTTGAGACTACTTGACGTTGTATAATCTACCATGAACAACTGTTGAATCAACATCTGTTAGCTGATGCAGAACAAACAATGTCAGAGCAACGTTGATACAATAGGTTGCGACATCGCAACATTTTTTCACTAACGTATGTGCCCAGTGGGGTGCCTCTTGTAGACACACTGACTAATAACATGGAAAAAGCATTGCAAGTGCTTTGCAATTGAGAATACATAGCGTGGCAGGAATTACAGGGTTTTGGCAAAGTCAGCACTCTGTATCTACTCTACTCTGTGCCCTGGTCAAACCAAGATTAGAGTTGACGAGAGTTCGTGAAGGATCCAAATCTCACTCACGTTTGATCGCCCAACTCTCATCAACCCTTCATGGACTTTCATCAACTGTTATCAACTTTGATCAACTTTAAGCTGGTTGAAATGTTTACGAGAGTTGATGAAAGTTTTTGCTCCTTTGGCAGTAATATCCAGTCAACTCTCACACAACTCTTGTTCTCGTGTGACCGGGACATGGGAATTGAGAAACCCCTCACACACAAACTCTCGCTTCTCAACTCTCATTATTTATAAACACTCGTGTTCGTTTAACTGTGACTTCAGTTTTATACAAACAGTATTTTAATACCTTCTGTGGCGATACGTCAGGCATCTTGATATCTATTTCCTCTTGTCCAGCTTTGCGTTTGATTTCATCATCTTCATTCTCATTTTCGTTCCGGTAATTCCTTGAGAATGTCCATACTGAGTCATCGTAAGTCTTGTCAGAAAAACGTTCGTTTATATCACTCGACGACGTATCCACCAAAATCACAGCGAAGAGAAATAAAATACTGTAAATTCCACCTCTCATATTTAATCTGCTGTTTCCCCGTTTAATAAGCGAGTATTCTCGAGCGAATGCTACCTAAAATGTTCAAAATATAAACGAAATTTCCATTCGTGGTTTGACTCTTGGTCTATTCTAGTTGCTCTTAAAAAAAACACATCAATTGCACCTGCCGTTTGTGCGAGGTATTATTTATTCATGAAAAACTCGAAGCATCAAATTGCCTGCCTACGCAAAATTTAAATATTCATTACCGTTATTGCTTAGTGATACAGCTGTCTTCTTTGTTGTGGACGCTTTCAAGAGACAAGTGGTTTTATTTGGGAAAAGTTTAAGTACATTTATTTGGCAAAAACCACCAACTTTTAAGTTTTAACTCACCAAGCCACGTGACGTTTGTTGACAACAAAATTTTCCCGCCAAAGTTTTTAAATTTCGAGAACAATACCAGCTAGTGGACTAAGAGAAACGAATTTTTTTCAGTTATTTTATTACTTGCAGCTGTCAAGGGCTCTTCGTTATGGTAATTTACATAAGGAGAAAATTCCACGTTGCTAAACAGTAAAAACGCCAACGCTTTGAAGACTGAAGTTTCTTCTCGGAAGTTGTCGATTTTTTGTGTGCAAATGTTTGCGCATGCTCATATCAGGACCAAATACAGTTTGGGAAAAAGGCAAAAGTTGGCAAAAGTGCCAAAAAGTCAAAATATTTTTGTCCTGTCTGAAACTCCCCCCCCCCCCCTGCCCACATTCAGTGCACTGTATACAGGATTTTCTTTTCGGGGGAGAGTTAGCCTGCTCACAGGCTCTATTATATAGAGCCTGCGACTTTTATTGATATTTTTTCAATACGCCCCCTTTGAGATAATTGAATATCCGGTAAATAATAGC